TCAGGATAAGGATTACTAGCATTAAATCAGCAAGCAAAGGAAGCATTCAAATCAGCAAGCAAAGGAAGCATTCAAATCAGCATCGATGCTGTAACAAACTTAGTTTCCTGCACTGTACTATACATATCCTATTAAAAAAAAATCACTGTTTTCTTTTCAATTCATCATTGTCAAGTACAAGTGTGCTATTGGTTTTTGGCATATTTGATTCTTACTTATTTCACTTATTAAAAATACATCCTTCCAAACAAAAAACTTACATCTGAAATTAAACATGTTCCTTTCAATTCATTGTTGTTAAGTACAAGTATGAAATTGGTTTTGGCATATTTGATTTTATGTGTATCAACACACACACTTCCTTGTTATTGGCATCTTGCCAAGTTTTATGTCTCTTTTTTATCTGCGTCCGCATTGAATAAAATTCATGTACATAAAGGATAAATGAGTATGCAAACAATAGAAAAGTTACAGACTTAAACTTTGATAACTTTTTGTCAAAAAAAAATATTCCTAAAAAAAAAAAAAAAAAAAAAAAAAAAAAAAAAAAAAAAAAAAAAAAAAACCTATTTAACGTAAAAAGTCATTGACTACAGTTGGTTCTATATATAAGTACAAGCCACTTCTCCCTTTTATACTATATATTGGTGCTAACAAACTTTAAAGTTAGTACTAAATGAAATATTATGAAGTACGTTAAACGTGTGTGTATTTTCAAAAGAAGAAAAGTGGGTATCGAACGAGGTGCCCTCTGCTTCCCTTTCTGGCATTCTACCGAGGCTGATGTCTTACAGTATTTAAAAACTTAACAACAATTTCATATTAAAATCTATTTAAGACTTCAAGTTATTGAAATGATTTTTTGATATAATTAAACATGTATATATCATTTATGGATGAACAATAAAACAGTGGATTTTAAGAAGATGGGTTTCAAACACCCTCGTACCCCTGCATTCCTTCAAATGTAATACGATGTGTCTCGGTCCCTTAGGAGCCCCGACTCCATTACCTCTTTAGAAATGGAGAGGTCCTCGGAAATTGGCCTATACAGAGCTTTAAAATTCCCATGCTTTAAGCTCATGTAAAAATAGAAGAGGGCCACAGAATCAATAAATGTATACAGCTGTCACTAACTTGTTCTCTGTCAAATATTTGTCTATAAATCCGTGTCACTGAAAACAAGATTCCTATGCAGATATTGATACGTGTATACGTTTGCAAACTTTAAGAATAATAAATATCATTATTATTGAACGGAATGTAGATGTCAATTTTATCTTCTTTTTTGCCTTGTATCCTTAGATGAAAATTTCACACTTTTCCAAATGAAATGTGCCGACAAAGAGCATTGAATGATCATGCTGAAAGGTCCACATAAAGAATACAAAGCAGAGCAATCTCACACCTCTGAAAGGAGAAGTGGATTCCGGTGTAATGGAGGAATGTGCATCCCATGTCGACACCTCTTGTGATGATTGGGTGAGATTAAAAATCCGTAAACAAGTCAATGTGAAAATAAAGGCCTAACCATTTTTATGACGAAAATTGAAAGTTGAAAAGACACTATCATCCTCATTGACGTTAATCAAAATACATTGGAGAAAATGCTGTGTCATTAAAACTTTGATACTTTAGGTTCTTACCCTAATAAACATATTGTTACACTCTTCTTTCAACTGAAGTGGAGAATTAAAGTCGTTAAAGTCAAGATCATGAAATGAGGTTACTGTTATAATTTCTCAAGTTTTCTTTCTCGAAAAAAAAAAAAAAAATAACACGTCTGTTCATAAATCTTCTCCATGGATAACTACAGAGTTTTAGTCAGTGCATACGAATATCTTTTGATCCATTTAGAAGTGAAATGAACACTAATTTTAACCAATTGGAATGTTAATATAGAATCACCTTTAGAACAAGGAATTTGAAGTATTTAATTAATGAAATATGACCTAATGTAGTAGAGAATGGAAATTGGCAAGTTATAAATACCATGCAAGCACATTCAGGGTTTCCACTTTTTCCACTTTTAACTTTTTGGCTTCTTAAAGGAACGTAAGACGAGGATAGTTAAAGGTTTTTGTTGTTCAAAAAATATATATATTTATTTGCTTTATTTTCATAAACATTTATTGAGCATCAAAAGTTGCAAAGTATCGCTATATAAATATTCTTTCACATCACACTCATTCAAAAACAACATCTAAATAGTTCCGCTTAGTGTTTACAGCACTGTCATCTGATTGCACTTCAGCAGAGATAACCGTGTATCCGTCAGATACAGGTTGTAAATACATATCCTGTTGTTGTTTTTGCTGTTTAGGTTCCTCATATTTATCTTCATAATCCAGACACGGTTCTTGTACTATTGAAATATAGCCATCGTTTGATGTCTTAGGTTCTAGATATTCCTCCTCACTTTTAATGTTTTGTTGACTATTCTTAATTTCTCGCATACCTTTAGATTTGTCCATTAGTTGTTCATATCGTTCCTGTTCTGGTAAAGATATTAATTCTACATCACGGGGTAACGGTTGTGAATAAGGTCCTTGATTATTGTGTCTTTGTCTAAAATTCAAAAGAATATGAATTCAATCGGATGAAATATTTCAGTTTTCATATACTTTTATGAAAAAGTTGGATTAGCAAACTTACATAGTAGGAAATTCACACATTTGAGACAGAGTTCACTGACATTCGTTTACTTTACTATGCTATATGCAGCATAGTAAACGATTATAACTCTGACTCAAATGCATAAATTACGTATTATGCATGTATAACTAGTTGTCAAGGATTCAAATAAATACTTATCTTATAACTGCTTCAGTTATATGAGGTAACTTGAAAGTTTACTATGAAGAGAAATCTTCTTTTGAACAAGACTTTTGGTTTCTTAATTTAATGAAAGTATAAGCATATGCTTTTTTTTCTGATCATCTTCTTAGCACAAATTATGTGAAGGATTGAAATTAGGATCTTGATTTAAAAGACAGACATTCTCTAAACATTAAAAATACGATTTTATATACCGCATTTTATAATATCTAGTCCATCCGATGATTCCACAAGAGACAATAGCAAGGAATAAAACACCAGTTATGGGTATCCATACATACAATATATTTAACTGCAGAGAGGAATTAGAAACGATGATTCCTTCTGTTGAAAGACCTGAATTAAAGTGCACAAAAAATTAAGCATGATTTCATTTGGCAACAGCCAGTAGAAATAAATGGAGACGCAACTTCAAGGCCTTATGCACCACTAGGCACGAGGAGGATAGTTAAGAGGTAACATAAGTATCAATAATATATGATATTTACATTCAATATGTAACTTGCTTAGAACGTGACGACACTCAAAACATCATAACACGGACAGGGGGTCAAAAGGTTAAAGTATGCGTTTTATTTTGACATCACAAACGTTGAACGCTGTGGAATCGAACGTCATAAGCGAAAATCAAAATTCACGATCACTTTGAAAAGAAACTGTTGCAAAGGCTCTTCCATTAATTGTAATTTACCTGAAGGCTAATACAGGGATTTTTAAATTAAAATCACTTTTGCAGTCAAGGCAAGGAGTTAAAAATGTAGAGATACCGGTAAGCATTAAATCATTATTTTTTTTAAAGATATAGTCTCATAACTGCAAAGGTGTGTGCAAACAAATTTTCGTAACGCGCTAATGCGCGTTACTCGATTTTTTTGCACACACCGTTGCATTTATGAAACTATATATTTCAAAAAATAACTATTCAATGCTTAATTATCACCATTCAAGAGGGTCATTCAAAAATTTCGTAGAATTTTGTGATAACATTCTATTTAACGTAATATTATAACCAAATTTGCAATTGGTAGATATACTTTAACGATATATCCAAATAATTTGAATTGAAAAATTCAACTTTATCATGATAAATATCCAAATTATTTAAAATCAAAAACTGCAAAAATAGGGTGACTGAAAACGGCCAAAATTGAGTAATTCTCTAACTTAAAGTTAATTTCGTCTATGGTTTTATCTCTAACAAACGGCGCTTAACCGAAAAAAAAATTAAAAGTTCATATGCACTTTTGTTTTATAACCTTAAGTACTAAATAGAAATGTAATACATTGTTTCGTTAGAGATCAGTTTCAGAAGACAGGTACCGGTAGTCATCCTTGAAAAAAGCCAACAAAAAAAAGGGGGGGGGCGTTAAAGGACGTCACGGAGCAGCAAGTAGCGATATAATTTTCTTTCGTACTCAGGAAACCTCTAAACAAACTCTGAAAATGCTGGAGAAACCAGGAATATATGAGAAGTGAGTCGTGCATTGTATACGTATTGTAATAACAGTGTTTGAGTGGTAGAGACTTTGAATCGGACGATGTACAGTCTGTGAGTAAACAGATTTTCATTTCAATTTGGTCAAAAGACTTAGTAACGTCTTTGAAAGTGAAATCCGACTTAATTGTTGAGGACCTTATAAAAGCAGAGTTAACGCAGTAAAGAATTTCAAAACACTGACAATCAAACATGCTACTCGAACAAATGTTAGCAAACTATATGTCAAGAATTATGGAGACCTTTCTAATGAGTTAATAAGGCGCTACAAACCTGTGAGAAATGACGAGGGAGAGTAAATGAGTAACTTTCTGACGTTACAATGTAGTTGAGAGTACTAGTCTTCTGCGTGATAAAACACGTTGAATTTAATATTAAGTAACATGAGTTCTATTTAATCAAATGGGAAGAAACTTCACACAACCACAAAATAAATATTTTTGCACTTGAAAATGTGTTAATCATAAATCATGTAAAAATAATATCATGAAGAGCGATATTGTCTACGTATTATCTGAATGACCCTCGTCATGTTCGTATATGGATATACATGTATATTTTACATTTCCACTTTAGTTATAAATTTTATGAAATACACGTAGTTTATATATGAAACTTACTGGATGTGAAAGAAAATTCAACTGATTTCAAAATGTCAGAATTTACACATCCTTTTGCCCCATCGCATGTCTCAAACATTGTGCAGTTGCATTCCTCCACGCAAAAAATTCCATACTTGTTTGGAGGACAAGTTTCTGTACAACCATCACCAAAGGTCCCGGCCCAACATTCTGAAATAATATATATTATCAATGCTTTCGGACAAGATGTTTGCTCTACAAGCTTCCAACTTAAAATAAAGTTTATAGGCAATTTTATATCTATGTGACCTTTCTCAGACCCGATAACACAATAGTAAAGAATCTGTAGGGAAATAAAAGGCATGTTGCTGTCGGTTTTTTTTTTACTTTTTAAAATCATTTCTTTTAACATTCTCATCGTATACTTTTCAATACCGGTACATGTAAATGATTAATTACTTTTGGAACTTTGGCGATTAAAAACTTATTAATTTAAAATAAAACATAAAAACAACTTTGGCGATTAAAAACTTATTAATTTAAAATAAAACATAAAAACAACTTTGGCGATTAAAAACTTATTAATTTAAAATAAAACATAAAAACAAAACCATTCTTATGAAAGTAAATGTTTTACGCTGCTTTGCGACAATATGATGCAGTTCGTGTGAGAATTGTCAATTTATATTATACCTTTTTATGATACAAAAATGTAAAGAATATGGATACAGGGAGACAATATCTATGTGAAGGAACAAGGATTATTTTTCACTCCTCAGAATTAAAAAAAAAAATAGGATTGCTCATACAAATTGTTTGTTTGCTTATTGTTTAACGTCACTTTTGAGCATTTTCACTCATATAACTCATATGAATGCTCCAGTCTTTGGTACCTTTTGTCAGCTCTTCCAAATCTTTTTTATCTAAATATTTTAGATTTCTAACGTTTTGGCTTGAGAATCACTGAAGAGACATATTTTGTCGAAATGCACAGCTGGTGCATCAAAATTGGTACCGTGTATGATTTAAATTATGACCCCTTGGTCGAGGTCTTTGATGGTAGACTGTTAGTCCCCGAGGATCTCTACAGCCCAGTAACCCAGTACTTCGGTACTAGCTTGGAAATACGGATATATATTTAGTTTCTGTGGTAAAGTTTTGAAATTTATTTCAAAATTAAGGATTATCTCCTTTAGGCATAGCTCTGATCCTTCGACGTATTTGGCTCCAGTCATTTGGCACCTTTTTTTTTTTTTTTTAGCTCTTCCAAATCTTTTCTATTCAAATATTTTGAATTTGAAACATTTCGGCTTAAGCATCACTGAAGAGACATAATTTGTCGAAATGCGGATCTGGTGCATCAAAATTGATACCGTATATGATATACATGTAGACGCCACCACTTGCTGGTGGATAGCTGCAAATTTTGACCAATACTCGGCACTTAGGGCCTTTGAGCAGTGAGGTATCTGTTTTCGTGCCAGCACCTACTGCGACAGGGGACCTTGGTTTATCCGGTCTCATCCTAAGGGCCGGTCTCCACGTCTCATAGTGGGATTCGAACCCGCGACGTCTCATACAGATTGAATTAAAGCTAACTTAAGGATGGATTCTTCTCATATTTCTTATAATGGCAGAATCTTTATTTTCTGAATACTCAATATTCAGACTGTTTACACTCTTTTAACATCCAAAAACTTTGGTGTCATCGGCCTTGATTTTCAGTCAAGGTCATTTGAAAGTCAGTCCTAAAAATAGTACTTTTACACAGAGAAGTTTTGAAATTTATGCATATGAATAAATTTTGCTGACTGAATAAATATCTTTCACTATAAAATTAAAGTTGTTACTTATTTTTGATGACTAATTCATATGAAATGAGCTGGTGAAAAGATAACATGAAATCCTCTATATTCAATAAATATATTTAATCCGAATTTCCTCGATATTTTTTCAAAATTCTCAGTTTTTATGAATTCACATGAAATTTCATCTCAATTTTTACAATTGACCATATAATGTCAAATATATAGATTTTTGTCTGATGAATATTCAAAGGTTCAAGATTAATTTACAAGGTAAAAAAGATATAGTAATCAGGCAAATTATCGAAAAAAAATTAGCCCGAATTTGTTCTATACTTTCTGAAATCTTCATTTTACAGAGTGTTTTAAATGTCTATAAAAAAGATTTTTAATCCCCAAAAACATATTAATTTGGTGTAATTGTGACATAAATACATTCATTTCTCCCAGTTATACATTCTATTTTTATGGTATTTTACACTAATGCTATTCAAAATATTCATTTCGAATTTCCTCTGTCATTTTATTCTTATGGATGTTATGTTTGACAATTTTATAAAATACATCAATTTTTTAGTGGCAATTACAGAAAAATTATCACATACATTCTTCACATGCACAGGACTAATTCAAAGCAACTTAACCTTTAATATAACCAGGAATAAATAATAAACCTTCCAAAAAGTTATGAGAAAAATCATACATAAAATTTCCATAGACTAGAAAAGATTTCAATACATTATTTATGACATAAACATGAAATCAATATACATGTATAGTGAACATGCCATTCAAAGCTTAATATATGAATATCAGAGGGACTAATATATATGCCTATACATGTATATGTAGTTATATACATATAGGTCCCTGGTATTATGTTATTATTGGATATTTTACATTTGTAAACTGAGTTTTGAAAACAACAAGCAAATTCAAAGAATTGTGGTCCCCCGCTTTCGATGTCTTAGTGGATGGGATGCCAATGCCATTATTTATGGCATATTTTAACTGTCTTGTTTGTTTGTCCTGTCTTATCTGTGCTTCATACAAAAAAACATAAATTATTGAATTAATAACAGTTATGGCAAAGACTATAGCTTCTCAAAACTACATCAAACTTCAAGATCAAGGTCATGAGGTCAAATATCATAAAATCCAAAAGATCTTCTCACAAGTGATGCACATGTAAAAAAAAATATCAGATACCAGAGTATACAATCAGAAAGGTCTTGAAACAGGTAATGCACATGTCAAATGTAAATACCATCTCTTCTCTCAATCAAATGCTATTAGCAATGATAAACTTTTTAAAAATTAGGTCAAACTTCAAGGTTAAGGTCATGGGATTAAAAATCATAGTACATTTGGAAATGCTTGTCACAGGTAATGCACTTGTCAAATATGAATGCTCTATCTTTGCTCCTTCAAAAGTTAGCAAACTGATGAAATGTTTGAAAATTAGGTCAAACTGGAAGGTCAAGGTCACGGGGTCAAATATCATAGCATATTCAGAAACAGTTTGACACATGTAATGCACTTGTCAAATATGAACGCCCTATCATATGTCATTCAAAAGTAATCACCAAATATAAAATTTTTGAAATTTAGGTCAAACATGAAGGTCAAAGTAAAGGGGTCAAAAATTATAGCATGCTTTGAAACACTTTGTCACTACTAATGCGCATATTAAATATGAAAGCCCTAACTATTCTAAATCAAAAGTTATAAGCAAAGATAAAAATTTTGAAAAGTAGGTCAAACTTCAAGGTAATGGTCATGGGGTCAAAAATCATAGTACACTTGGAAAGGTATTCCTACAGGTAATGTTCATATTTAATATGAAAGCCCTATCTTTTCTCATTTAAATTTAATGACCAATTTAAAGAAATGTCAATTTTCTGAAAAGTAGGTCAAACTTCAAGGTCAAGGTCACGGGGTCAAAAGTCATAGTAAAAATTCGAAAGGTCTTGTCACAGGTAATAAACAGGCATAATATGAAAGTCCTATCTTTTCTCATTCAAAAGTTATGACCAATTTAAGGTAATGTTAATTTTTTTGAAAAGTAGATCAAACTTCAAGGCCAAGGCCACGGGGTCAAAATTCACAGTATATTTGGAAAGGTCTTGTTACAGGTAATGTACATGTGAAATACAAAAGCCCAATCTCTTCTCACTCAAAAGTTATGGCCAAGGTTAAAGTTTTTGTGACAGACAGCCCGACAGATGAATGAGATTTAATGTCCCCTCTCTTTCGCGAAAGCGAGGGACAATAAATACCTACACACATTTATAAGTATATAGTTTTTTCAGCACCAATAAATATAACTCCTCATTGTGATCACAAATTGCGTAAAATTTGCTGGAGTTTTAAGATAACAAAAAAGCCATCTATGACAATCAAATGCCCTTTGACATCTTTGCCTGAAAATGACATCCTTGAACTTTGTAACAATAATATGCATGCAGCTATCAAACTTAATTTCACATTTAGATGCAAAATACTTATTCAAGGATGAAATTTCTTTTTAAGAATTTGTAGCACAAACATTTATTGATCAGTGTCTATAACTTATATTGAAATGAATTAAAAATTACCTCTTGAGGGTTTCTACTGCAAGTACATGTATGTAGTTCATTTGTAAAAATCTAAATTTTAACCCGGCCACTACCAGCAATTTTGTTCAGCATGCTCTTGCTTAAAATCACCCTTTAACTAAATGATCTAAAGCAGGCACATTTTTATGTATTCCAGAACTGTATTTTAAGATTTTAACTGTATTTGAAAATGTAAAGCAACTGAATACATAGAGCTAGGTATATATCATTTACAAGTTGTTGTAATGCCAGTACATGTAAATCTTCACATTGTAATCTAATGAAAGATAATGCTTGAAAAATTCACTCTTGGAGTAAGATTTCAAATCTGAATCAAAGATTTTGTAAAGTAATCACATTCTACAAAGTGTGCACTGTATCGGGTACTTGGGAATCAAATAATTTAACATTATATAATTATAAATAAAAATATTTTTGACTGAAAGTTTCTGAAAAAAATCAAGAATGGAATCATGCAACAAGCAGCAGTAACTATGATAACATGCATTGACTTCCACATTTCTACACACAAAAACATTTCTTTGATCAGATAAATATGTAACTCCTGCTTCTAATCTGTGATATATTCTGAGAAAATCTCTTTTCCACAGACAGCCATCATTCATTTGATTTGAGAATTTCTTGCTGAACATGTGTCCACCTGATGAAAGTCCAAATTTTTTGTTGACCTATAATTTAAAAAAAAAAGTAATATATTTTACATAGCAACACAGATGCTGCATTACATGATAGTTAGATAAAGTTGTGTCCATATTTCTTATACATGTACCTCAATAGTCCATCTGCCAGCACTCCTTGCTCAATCATCCTGCATTCTGACCTCCAGTCTTTTTTCTAGTCTAGGGTAAAGTAGGGTTGATTTTCTCCTAAGAATTAAACATGAACATCCCTTAGACTATTTTTTTAAATTAATGGAAATTGATTATAAGTTTAAACAACTTATCTCATCTGTATTTCATTTATTGATTTAAATGAATGAAGATATTTTAATAGATTCTACCATATGCATAATGTCTTATAATGTATTGGATATAAATAAATAGACATTTTTTATCCTAAAAGTACAGAAAAGTAAAAAAAACAATAATATAAATAGTTTTTTAACAATAATGTTTCATTTTGCTCTATTAATTCGATAATTGTGTGTTTCAATGTTATTGATATTTCCACATACAATATCAAGTTTTTTTTCCGTTTGATTTGTACCCAAGCGGGACACCTTACTTTTCTAATAACTTGATGATTGTTGTGTCTTGAACAAAGTAGGCTAGTTAAAAATATAAAATTTGTTGTAGTCATATACAAAAAATGCTATTTTTGTGAATTATTATTCATAAACCTGACGAACACACGAAATATATCCTCTTCAAATGTTGACAAGTCGCGGGAATAAGCAGACGAAATATTGATAACAGGACTATAATTTCCGTGCGAATTCCCATAAATCAATACAAATCAGCATGTAATTGAATTCAATTTCAAAATTATGAAAATCTTCAGACATATATAACTAACTTACATGCTCACTGCACACGACATGACTTCAGACGAGGCAACGTGGATCTGCAATCTTGCACATGTTTGTGACCTTCAAGTTCAAGCTTCCCTTTTGGCTGATCGGAATTTCCCGGGCATAAATAACTATGATTTAATTTGTCATAACTGTCCCTGGGCTTCTGCAATGCTTCGATAATGTTTTTACAAAACAACCCTCTCGGGGTTTTCTACGGGAAATGATCTGGACATGATGACATTCGCTACCGAACTGCGAATATTATGGAGATTGTCGCAAATCAAAGAAAATATTACGAAAAATTTATTAATTTCAAAAGAAATAGATTCCACATTACTTAAACTGACAAATTAACTAATAGTTTTTCCTTCAGTATAATTAAATATGAATTTTGCATTTTACGACTTGCATAATTTATGGAGACCCATTGACGACGTAAAATGCTGACAAGAATCCATCCTTAAAGACTTGGCGAGAGACAAAGAGCTGTACTGGTAAATTGATTTGTAATATTTGTCTTGTTCTACTACTTTTACTGCTGGTATACCAAAATCTAAAAGGTCCAAACATTATCTCATGTTTGCGTAACATACATGTATACATGTATCACTGATATACCACACAACACGGTTTATGTGGAGATATCGGCAAATATTTTGTGATAAGAAATTTTTTATCAGGACGGTCAATTCTTTTACTTAACTTATGTTGGGCTAATGTTATATGGTTTAAAACGATTATATTTTTTGTGTAATAATGCCATTTAATGTGGCAGTCACATGATTTTAGCAAATATACTTGCAGTATTGAGAATGTAAAAAAGGGAATAAATAACATAAAATTCTAAGTTTAGTTTACAAATATCAACAACCCCTTTTGTGGTTTATGAAAAGTGCCGCAATCATCTCTCTATATTTTTTTCTGTGTACATGTTAGTTGTTGAAATTAGATTTGTAAGACCGCGTGCTGAATATTTTGCTGGTCAACTGCTTTATATATTTTTTTTATTTTAATTTATATTATTCAAATCATTATACCATTATCTTAACGTATCTGTGAAAAGTCCAAGGGAGCATGATCACCCCCCCCCCCTCCCATTCCCACTAGATGTGCGCGTGCAGAGACAAAAGGTCACCTACACTGATATATTAATAATGAGACCAGAGGTAAGCTAGTGTGTTACTTTGATACGGTAGCGTGACGTGGTTCATCATTAGGGAGACCTAGGGTCGCCTAACGTAATTCATTACCATAAATCTTATATCATATAACTTAAAATATAACAGTCAGTGTTGCTTGCTTTACCCCCTATTGTATATTTCCTAACATCAGATGATTATTCTTTAAAGAAATGCATTTTCTGTTTGTTGTATTACATTTGTAAAGGCTTCCCAGTAGAACAATTTATTCTACTTTTACTTTGCAGTTGCAATGCACTATATTTTGTGACGGAGTAAACAGATCAGATGACCTTAGGTCCTAGTTAAGCGTAAGTTTTATCCTTCTGCATCCGACTTACCTACAGTTTGTACCAACTACTGTTTACGAAGCATTAGGTCCCGTCTCCTTTATGTATCTTTAAGTTTGCTGCGCATACATCTTACTAGATCACATTTCTTATCTCAATTCAATTTACAAGTATTTACATGCATTTTGATCGATTGAAGTAAGAAAAAAAAACATTCACTACACACAAAAGGTGGCACCCAGAAAATCGGACACCACACGTCTCTGCAAGAAGACAGATAATATACTTGGGAAGCACCAATTCTTTATTTAAACTTGTGCAATGAAAAATAATGCATATAATATTTTCAAAAGGAAATAAAACTATTTTTTTTGCAGAGAATTCACAATATGAGAATGTCTTAAGTATTAAAGCAAAGTGAAATTAAAATTTTCCTTTTTACTATTTGAAAGTTAAAAGAGCTTAAATCAGTTCTCTCGGAAAATGAAAGAAAGTATTTCAAAAAATCTTCTTTGAGAAAATATACAATGTTTCAAAACTTTCTCAAATTTTGCTTTTGTTTTCACAGCACACACCACACAAAAACCCTCACACACACAATAGAGATATAACTTACCTATACACTGTTTACCCTTCAGACGATAATTCTTGCAGCACTGTCTCGGACCTCTAATTCAAAATGCAAAGAGAAGTTTATAACCTGCAGATATTCCTGAACTCTGGTGATAAGGAAACGTTACATAGTAGTACATGCACTTTTCTTTAAAACAATTCAATATTATAAGGAAAATTGAAACGAAGCATGATAACCATGCAGTTTCTTTTGCTAGAGTTATCTTCCTTTGAACTTCGATGTATTCAAAGACATTATGTTAAAAATGGTATTTAATCAAAGTGTATTGTCCCATGCTCATATTGATATTCATATCTGAGTCAAATAGTCACTATAGCTAAATCATCATAGTAATTTTGACACCATAGTGACTTCCGAACTGAGTAGTGTCTGAATGTTTTTTTAACCAGATATCAATCTCGTGACTCCTGTTTATCTTTTTATTTTTACTCTTATAATAATAATTGTTTATACGTTGTAAACATGTCTTTTGTAGGGACTATTAATAAGAATACCATTATGCGCATGGACTTGACCACACCCCTGTTTGTGCTAATATCATATATAAAACAAATTGCAGAAGAATCAAAATGGTACAGTTTTAAAAATGAATGGCACATTGTATCTCTATTATGACTCAAGCTTTAAGCTTTTAACAATGGAATGAGCTACCTTCAGAATAGTACTAATGCAGTTTAAGGTTAATATTTAACAAGTTTGAAGAGTTGGGGCTTCTATATAATGTGAGCATTTGTTTTCATTAGAGCGAAGAGAAGAAACTACCCTTTTCCTTCTTTTGTTAATTTAGCTTGCGCATTTAATTTTCTCTACACTGTACAAAATGTATCAAATATTTCGTTCTGATGATTGACGTCAATTGTAAGTTTATCTGTCATAAAAAAAAAACTGGGTCAATCAACTGATATTAAAAATTTCATTACAATTACTAACCCTGGCACAGTGCAATCTCCTATCATTGATATTACGACCCTTGCTGTAAAATTCCACAATAAATAAAGATGGACACTGACATATGCCCACATTGTTTTCTAGTACACTTGAAATTTCTGGATCAAAAATATTGATTATTTCAATTCAAAAATAGAATCACATCCTCAAGTTCGATTTAGAATACTCTTTTCGAATTAAAAGGAAGCACTCGATGTTTACTTCCCATTACATTTGAAAAATTGTATATGATTTGACATAATTACAATTTGTACATAAATCATGTCTGCAGTTCATACATGTAAATGGAACTCTTGGAAAAAAGTCAGTTAGACCTATAATAATAAAATGCCACTATCCATCAAATTTCTTATAAATGCATGTTTAAATTGACTCCTTCATAAAAATCGCCTTTTCGTTGCTTTATAGTACGTGTTCCTTTATTTTCAGTTGTACAAAGTTTTGAAAATTAAAAATATAGCCGTTTTACATGTCGTTCGATGTCTGTTGTGTCCTCATTATATCCCTGGATCGAAATCTTTTTAATGTTTTTAATGTAATCTAGACAATGTTGCTAACATGAAAGATTTCATTTGATTTGAAACTTTATTTTTTAGTAAGAGGACTGACTATAAAAACACAATTTATAGTCTACAATAGGAGCCCTATTTCCGGCGCAGAAAGTCACATACTGAAGGCACCATGTTTCCTTTCTTTATGGCTTTTTTGTGCACCACCTTTATTCTTCTTAAGTGTGTTTTACCATTTATACTATCGGCTGGGCTACTTTTGTCATGTGATTAGTAAGAGTTATGTCATGTGACTAGTCAGCATGTTTAACTAGTCAATTTTTCATGTGACTAGTCAGCATGTTTAACAAGCCAATTTGTATGTACCATATATTTTGTTTTAAGCCCAGTCAATTAATTGTGATATAAGTCTATGTTATATGTAAATGTAGTTTTAGTCATTTGTTAGTTTCAATAAATGACATTTTCACTCAATGTTTCTTTCTTAATAATGTATATAAGAGGTTAAGCAAAAACAAGCTGCGAATAGACAGAATTGTCTCCTCTCACTAAAGGGAAAATTTGTAGATATAAATTTTTTTCACTGATGTGTCGAATGGTGTTGGTACTGTAATATTACACTTTTATGTGTCGTAAAGAAACTAACATATGCATTTTTGCTAGAAATTTAGAAGTTTCTTAGAATAACTCTCCCTCTTCATTTCATGGCCTATATAGCGCCTAATCCACGGATTTAAAATGTCTCTGCAATACTTGACTTAGTTTGCTAACAATTGTTTGGGTAGGTGAAGATTGTTTGTCAATCTTTTTTTATCTTTACTTCGTACATGTAATAACTCTGCTTTCACGAGTTCGGGAACAGTGAACCGCAAATCACTTCTCATGGCGTTACTGACTCTTTTGACCAGAGTTTTAACTATGCATGAATATAATCTGTTCATTGCAGACTGTCCATCGTCCGATTTAAAGTCTCTTCACGCAAACTGTCTTAGCCATTTGTGTACAAATGCATAACGAAGCAATGTTTAGCATCTAATTTTGGACATTTAATTTATTTCTTTTAAGAGCTATTTATTAGAGATACGGCTATAGACTTGTTAGTCTCAGACTAAGTTATTCAATTTTAACAGTGCCCCGTGACCCCACTTTCACAGTCTTGAATTTAAGATAATTTTGATTACGATCATGATATATAAGACGTTTTTTATTCAAATTATGCATATTGATCATTAAAATATCTTTTTTTTAATTTGGTTCTCTCATGACGTTATAGAAAAAGAGCTATGTCAAAAGTCTACAATTTCTTTTTTTTTCTGGATGACCCTTGTATAATACATGTACATGTTTCTCACTTAACATAAAGTCATTTAGGAATGTTCCGTTATTGTATTTGACCGTGTTGTCTTTAAAATCTTATATAGCCAATTTAAGGTTAAGCCAACGAATTTTGGTAGATTAATCTTATTTCAATAAAATCGAGTTAATTAACTTTAAAGGAATTGTGAGTCAGCCGAACAGTGTGGATTCGTTGCATTTACTACCATGTACATAAAATTGATTATTACTGCAAAAACTTAAGTCCGACGTTACGTAGATACTAATTTGCACAACAACAAAATAAATGAAAATTTATACTTTTTATCATCTATACTAAATAAAATTTTAGGAAAATAATTTGTAAAAAAATATTTCTTTAGATTTTTTTGAAATTTTGAGGTAAATTTTAGTAATTATTGTACCAATTTCAAGAGTTTGAGCTCTTGAGTTCAATCCATTATGTGCTAGATATCCTCCAGAATTCAATTGTTTCCTGACATTTGCCTTACTTGTTGAAAATGGTGATGTGTACCGGATTAAATGACAAGCAAAAAATTTTAATAAACAATCTTAAAGTACATAATTACCACTGGCCTATATTCATTTCTTCTAATGCGTAGGCTAGTGTGAAGTCACAGATTTAACCCGAGGCGCAAAGTGTAGGTAGTCAAAGAGTGGGTTGCCCGCCTCGATAGGGATTTAGGAGGGGGCTGGAGGGAGCATTTTTGAGAACTTGAGATCATCTACGATTGTCATTTGACCAGTAAAAACAATATTGTAAACATATTTTCAGTTTATATCAGGATATGAGGATCACTTAAAAGAACACTTAACATATCCTTTCACTCTGATTAGAAAATATGGAAACTTCCATAGTGAATAATCCAACTACAAACAGTACGTTTACTTTCCTACTAGCCAAAATATTTCCAGGAATTAATTTCATTTCCTGCACTATTCATGGTATGCTGCCTCCATAAAATACAGCCAGTTAAACCGTTTTATCTTTTATTAAAACTCCATAATTCAATAATGCGGTAATACGTACGGTGAAAAGCTACAATAGACAAAATAATAAAAAATGTGATGTACAATGCTCAAATTTAAGAAATTTATGAAAAATCTGAAAAATATCTATATTAACAATAAATAGAACAAAATACTGAGATATATGTGTGAATTAGCATTATATAAATAGAAATACTTTTCAAATATCAGCAAACATGGACTATATATATATATATATATATATATATATATATATATATATATATATATATATATATATATATATATATATATATATATATATATATATATATATATATATATATATGACAAATTAGCTACTCTCAATTCCCAGTAAAATTTTAACAGTCAAATTTCACATACGTTAGAAGAAAAAAATAAAGAAATTCATAGCCGAAAATTCATAAGCATAATACAAGTAACTGTTAGAAGATAAATATATGAAATACTTACATTGTGGGCAGAGTAAAAAACTGTAAAAGCAGTATGACTGTTCATATACTGAGTAAGACGACAAGTGACAAGAAAATATCTCGTGCTGCACGCACGGGAATAACAAGTGTAAACAAAAAAGAAAAACCAAAGCGTACCGGAAGAAAAAAATTCCGGCTTACAAGACGGCACACATGGACTCCTGTTGCTGTTTTGAAATTGTCTGATACAGACTTAATATAAAACTTAAAGAATTTTGGTTTTAAAAAATTCCAGCTATAAGAATAATTTTGTCATTAAATATAAAGTAAAACTGTAAACTTTGGATACATATAAAAGTGCGGATTGCTAAGACTGCTTACATATTGACTTCCCCCCGCGCTCCCTTTTCAACCAAATTTTTATCCCTGAAAAAATGATGTGTAAGCTACAACCTTTTGGCCAATATGGAATATACGCCACTGATTTCACGCATATACATGCATTTTTTAAAATAAGTTTTTTTTTGATATTATACATTGTATATCATATTGTCATATATGTCAAATTACTGCTCCAGCGTTAATATCCGCAATGCCTTGTTAGGCGTGTCAAGTTCATTTTCATTTCAAGTTACATTTTCTAATTTCTGCTGTTCTCTTACACTGCATGTTGCAATTGAATATCTAATTACATAAATTAATGTCGTATATGTGACCAATTTAGATTGCTTTGAAAATCATCGAGAACTGTATCAAATGTTTCCATAATTTTTACAGTAAGCGTGTAATATATAAAAATAAACAAACATCAATGAAAAT